CACCAAATCCTACCTCCACAGCCCATCACGCGTCCTCCTGCAGCCTCTGCACCCGCTTTCAGAAGCCCTATCGACTTCTATCTTTGTTCTCTGGTGACAAGGCGCTGATTTTTCTTTTTCCAACGAAGCTCCTTCCTCCTCTTCCTCCTTCAGGCTCCGTGTTGCCTATAAGGTAGGCAACTCCATCTTGATTGTAAGTTCGTGAAGTCTCCGTTGGGAATGCCACTGAGAAACTGAAATATTTATGATGATTCTTCATCACGCTCATGAATTATAAAAGAACAATTGGCTTGAAGTTTCACACAAATTCGATCTCAACATATAGTAATTTCAAAACATATAGTAACCTTGCCTTTTATAATATTTTGTGTCCCATGTTTTTTAACTATGAAACTTCATGGGACTTCAAGTCCTGTGAAGTTAGCAGCTTAATTAAATGGCTGCTAAACTTCACGGGACTTCAAGTCCCGTGTCAGGCTGAAACTGGGTCGGTTTTGACGAATATTTTCAGAATGGGTTATTTTTTGTGAATATTTTTGTAAATGGGTCTGTTTTCAAAATTAGTCTTTTTTTTTTATTTTTGCATCTTACATCATTTGTTTTCTACATGTGCATCATGGTGCGTTTATCTTGGTATAACTTTTACAGTTCAAGTTATGGGTTACAGATATCATTTATTGGACATTTTTGAAATCGATCCCTTCTCCTATTGTGAAAAATAATGAGGTGAAGAGCCAATAAATAAATAAATAAAAGTGGGGGCGAAAAGGGCAACCAAGTTATGGCACAGAACTATTTCATCAACGGTGTCTCATGACAGATAGTTTTTACTCTGTGGGGACACACTGTGGTTGCTTTTCTTATGTTTATCATGATTCATAATGGAGAAGACATACTTTAAGTTTGATTGTGATCTGATCAGATGATTATGATTTCTTCTGGTAGTTTGAGTGTCAAATAAGAACAAAAAATCAATTTCTGCATGCTTTCTCTCTTGTATGTCCCTCCAAATAGGGGTGCATACTGTTCAGATACGGCTCATATATTACTTATTATATTCATATCCGCTTACCAATCGTAGATACATATATTGTTGGATTTAAATCTAATTAAATCTATTTGTGGGCACATATGTTATATCAGTGTGTGTTGCTATCTTTCAGTTGACACGCATAAAGTGATCAATCAGGTAATTAGGTCAATGGGTATTTAAATATGTCATGAGCTAAATGTGCGGATACCATGTTGTAATTATAATTTGATGAGGGGTCAAATTATAAAAATACAACAACTATAAATAAAGGGTTATGGTCCCTAATCTAGGGTTGCATTCTCTATTCTCTTAATCTCCATCTAAAGAGATTCTAAAGGAGAGACCCTCAAGATTAGAAGATCAAACCCTAATTCAGATCCGTGCAAATCCAAACAATAGATTCAGGTATAAGCTTCCGCTCTCATTGTTGTTGTTTATTCTCTTTGAATTAATCATGGTTTTATGGATTAGATCTCAGATATTAAGATCTAACAAGTGGTATCAGAGCCACTCGTGACTAATTCTTAGGGGTTTAAATTTTAAAATTGGGTTTTTTGATCTTAAATCTCTGGTTTTTCTCAGAACTGTTCACGGATGAACAGTAAAGTTTCGTGAACAGTAAAGTTTTAAAAATTTTTGGATTTTTTCTTCGATTTTTTTGGGATCTGGATCAAGAAGTCATCCTTTGTTTTTCCGATTCTAGATCTGGTTTTGAAATAAAATCGAGGAATTTTTTGGATCTATTTTTGTTTGGTCGTCGGTCCCCGTGCTCCTCGCCGGCGATATATCGCTGGCAACCTCGCTCTCGACTCCGACAGCGATGGCGGCGTTAGGAAACCCTAAGGTTTCGACCTTTGGGTGCGGGAGCAATGGCGGCGGCGGTTTCAGATTAAAACCTCAAGGGGTTCGTGCGCGTGAAAACGTGCGGAAATTAAGGAGGTGGTTACCTTAATTTTTTGGCGAGGCTTGAAAGCTTCAAACGAACCCTGCGTTCGTTCTCAAGTCGAATCTCGAGTTCGTTCTCAAATCGAACCTTGCGTTCGTTCTCAAGTCGAACCCCGCGTTCATCCTCAGGCAAGTCTCTTGCTCACTTCAAACAAACCCCGCGTTCGTTCTCAAACGAACCTTGCGTTCGTTCTCAAACAAACCTTGCGTTCGTTCTACTGTTCTTCTTTTCCGTCGGGTAAAAGAAGAAGGCTGCAGACAATTTGAGTTAGAGCACAGCCCACTTAACTCTATTGGGTTTTGGGCCCAATTTTAATATGCTTAATTTAACTAATTAAGCAACGAGTCCTTATTTAAGCTATGGAAATTTAATTTAATTTAATTTAATTTAAATTTAATTTGGTAGTTAATCAATTATTTAATTCAAATATTATGACACTAAGGTATTCAGGTTATCTCTCACTCCAATTGTTTAATTGAAACAAGAAGTTGCCAAAGTAACCTCTCTTGTGTAGATTGTTCATGAGGAATGTGAGATGTTTGTGTGTATGCTTTCGTGTAAATATTTAATCAGCCCAAAGGAATGTTAATATTTATTTAGACTGCATACACATCTGCGATGATAAACGTGTGACAATTATAATGTTTACATGTGAATAATGAATCAATCCAAAGATAGTTTCATTATTTGACATGAGTTATTGTTAATGTTTGATCATTGCAACAAAGTATCACTTACAAGTTAATATTACTGTCCAAAGACTTGATATTAATGTTGTGCCAGATATCTTGAGATGAGATTTATCATTATTTGAATTTTATTGATTACGGCTAATAATGTGAGTATCTTTTGTTTATTTCAGCTAATGCATCTGCTGCAATAATTTCTGCTAACATCAACTCAATTCCCATACTTAATGGGATAAATTTCAAGGTTTAGAAAGAGAACATATTAATTGTTCTTGGCTGTATGGATCTAGACCTTGCATTAAGAACTGAGCAACCCCAACCTCTCAATGCGGATAACACTCCTGATGTTAAGAAGGAGTATGAGAAGTGGGAGTGTTCAAATCGCATGAGTCTAATGATCATTAAGCGGGCGTTCCGAAAGCCTTTAGGGGCATAGAATCCGAAGGGATTACTAAGGCTAAAGATTTCCTTGCAGAAATTAAGAAGCGTTTTGCGAAAAACGATAAGGTAGAAACAGCACGCTTTTAGCTCGCTTGATTTCAATGAAGTATAAGGGCAAAAGAAATATCATGGAGTACATTATGGAAATGTCTCATATTGCTTCGAAACTTAAGGCGCTTAAACTCGATCTTTGTGATGAGTTATTGGTACATCTGGTTTTATTGTCTCTTCTTGCACAGTTCAGTCAGTTCAAGGTCAGTTATAACTGCCAAAAGGAGAAATGGACTCTAAATGAGCTCATTTCATACTGTGTGCGAGAAGAATACAGGTTGAAGTAAGATAAGACAGAAAGTGCTCATTTGGCTTATGCCTCTAAGGATAAGAGCAAGAAAAGAAAGAATGATAATGAAGCTGCTAAGGGTCCAGTTCAGAAGAAACAACATAAGGATAACCAGGGTTGTTTCTTCTGTAACAAGCCTGAACACGTAAAGAAGGATTATACCAAATATCACACCTGGCATGCTAATAAAGGTATGTTCCTTACTTTGGTCTGTTCTGAGGTTAATTTAGCTTCAGTACCTAGAAACACTTGGTGGTTAGACTCTAGTGCTACTACTCACATAAGTATTTCTATGCAGGGTTGCCTGAGCTACCGAAAGCCAAGTGATGTTGAAAGACACATCTTTGTGGGCGACGGTCAATCGGTAGATGTGGAAGCAATTGGGCATTTTAAGTTGCTATTAGGAACTGGTTCTTATTTGGACTTAAAAGATACTTTTGTAATACCGTCTTTTAGACAGAATTTGGTTTCTGTTTCTGTATTGGACAAATCAGGTTATTATTGTTCATTCGGAAACAGTCAATTCAGTTTATCTTTTAATTCAAATATTATGGGAACCGGTTACTTAAGTATTTATGACAACCTATATTTGCTTGATACAATTGCTTCTTATAATGAATCCTTGTACGTGGAATCACGTGGTACTAAGTGTAAATTAAATAAGGAGAATTCTGCGACATTATGGCATAAGCGCTTGGGTCATATCTCAAAAGGTAGAGTTGAGCGTCTTGTGTCTGATGGCATTTTGGATTCCCTTGATTTTTTGGACTTTGACGTATGTGTTGAATGTATCTGTAAAACCCCAAAATTTGGTAAAATAAATATATGTGAATTATTAATAGTGAATAATTCTCTTATGATAAATAATTATATATATATATATATACATATATATATATCAGATGAACGTAATTATCTGTGTTTGAGACCCCATCAAATGTTTCTATGTAAGAGTAATCGAGTGAAATGGCCAGCATGTTAAATGCCTAACAGCAGGCATTTTTCTGCTGCGCGGTCGACCGACGCGGTCGACCGCACAGCGGTCAGAGCATTTTCTCAGGTTCGGGTTCAAACGGGTTTTGGGTCGGGTTTGTGAGTTGGTATAAAGGCTAATGATCCGAGACAACCCTCTTTGCATCTGAAATCAC